TTCCCACAACCCCAGGATTTTGTTATCCTGGTATTCCCACAATTCCATTATCCCAATAGTCCATGACTCCATGATCCCATAATTCCACCATCCCATAATTCCTCAATTCCAGCCTCCCAAGTTCTGAACTTTGGGTCTTTTCCAACTTCAGTGACCCCGTGATTCCAGGATTTCGTTATCCCATAATTTCCCACGTTCCTGTGATCCCATAATTCCCTTATCCCAATAACCCCTGACTGTAGGATTCCGTTATTCCGTTATTCCCTGGCTCCAGAATCCCAGAATTCCTTTATTCCAGGATTCCAGAATTCCCAGAGGTTGAGCTCGATGCTCTTGGGGGTCTTTTCCAACATCAGTGATCCCATAATTCCACGACCCCACGATCCCATAATTCCCTGATTTTCAGAGGTTGAACTTGATGCTCCTGGAGACCTTTCCCAACCTCAGTGATCCCGTAATTCCATGACCCCACAATTCCCAAATCCCGTCATTCTCAGAGGTCAAACTTGGTATTTTTTGAGATCTTTCCCCACTGATCCCATAATTCCACAATTCCTTATAGGGAATTGCAGCTCCTGGGCCACTCCATGATCCCATAATTCCATGACCCCATAATTCCCAAATCCCACCATTTTCAACTGTTGAACTTGATGCTCTTGGAGACTTTCCCCAACCTTATTGATCCCATCATTCCACGATCCCATAATTCCCTGCGAGCCTCACGTCTCCCAATTCTCTCTCTCCGCGCAGCGACCTCCAGGCCCCTCTGGAAAGTCTGGAATTGTCCTGACTCCCTAATCCCATGATCCCATAAATCTACAATCCCATAATTCCCAAATCCCATCATTCTCAGAGGTCGAACTTGGTCCTCTTAAAGACTTTCCCAACCCCAGCAATCCCATAATTCCATGACCTCATAATTCCACAATTCCATGGCTCTCTGAGGTTGAACTTGGTGCTTTTGGAGACCTTTTCCAACCTCAGTGACCCCATCATTCCATGACTCCATAATTCCCAAATCCCATCATTCTCTGGGGTTGAAATTGATCCTCTTGGAGACCTTTCCCAACCCCAGCAATCCCATCATTCCGTGAGTCCATGATCCCATAATTCTCTGCTTCTCAAAGGTTGAACTTGATGCTCTTGGAGACTTTTCCCACCCTCAGTGATCCCGTAATTCCATGACCCCATAATTCCCAAATCCCATCATTCTCAGAGCTTGAACTTCATGACCTTGGAGCTCTTTGCAACCTCAGTGATCCCATAATTCCATGACCCCATAATTCCCAAATCCCATCATTCTCAGAGGTCAAACTTGATGCTCTTGGAGACCTTTCCCAACCTCAGTGATCCCATCATTCCATGCCCCTGTGATCCCATAATTCTTTGTTTTTCATAGTTTTAACTTTATGACCTTGGAGTTCTTTGCAACCTCAGTGATCCCATAATTCCATGACCCCATAATTCCCAAATCCCATCATTCTCAGAGGTCGAACTTCAGGGTCTTGGAGCTCTTCCCCAATCTCAGTGATCTCGTAATTCCATGACCTCATGATCCCACAATTCCCAAATCCCATCATTCTCAGAGGTCAAATTTGATGCTCTCGGAGCTCTTTCCCACCCCCACTGACCGCACCGTTCCCTCCGCGCAGYGACCTCCAGGCCCCTCTGGAAAGCCTGGAATTGGCCTTCTGCTCCCTGATCCCATGATCCCATAAATCCATCACCCCATAATTCCMTAATYCCYTSYTTCTCAWAGGTTCAACTTGATKYTCTTKGAGATCTTTCCCAACCTCAGTGATCCCGTAATTCCATGACCCCACAATTCCCAAATCCCATCATTYTCAGAGGTCAAATTTGATGCTCTTGGAGCTCTTTCCCACCCTCACTGACCGCACCGTTCCCTCCGCGCAGCGACCTCCAGGCCCCTCTGGAAAGCCTGGAATTGGCCTTCTGCTCCCTGATCCCATGATCCCATAAATCCATCACCCCATAATTCCATGATCTCCCAATTCTCTCTCCACGCAGCGACCTCCAGGCCCCTCTGGAAAGCCTGGAATTGGCCTTCTGCTCCCTGATCCCATGATCCCATAAATCCATCACCCCATAATTCCCAAATCCCATCATTCCCAGAGGTCAAAATTGATATTCTTTGAGATCTTTCCCCACTGATCCCATCGTTCCATGCCCCTGTGATCCCATAATTCTTTGCTTCTCAAAGGTTCAACTTGATGCTCTTGGAGATCTTTCCCAACCTCAATGATCCCGTAATTCCATGATCCCACAATTCCCAAATCCCATCATTTTCAGAGGTCAAATCTGATGCTCTTGGAGCTCTTTCCCACCCTCACTGACCGCACCGTTCCCTCCGCGCAGCGACCTCCAGTCCCCTCTGGAAAGCCTGGAATTGGCCTTCTGCTCCCTGATCCCATGATCCCATAAATCCATCACCCCATAATTCCCAAATCCCACTATTTTCAAAGTGTGAACTGGATGGTCTTGGAGACTTTTCCCAACCCCACTGATACAATCATTCCTTGACCCCACGATCCCATAATTCTCTGCTTCTCAAAGGTTGAACTTGATGCTCTTGGAGACCTTTCCTAACCTCAATGATCCCGTAATTCCATGATCCCACAATTCCCAAATCCCATCATTCTCAGAAGTCAAATTTGATGGTCTTGGAGCTCTTTCCCAATCTCAGTGATCCCACAATTCCATGACCTCATGATCCTATAATTCCGTGACTTTCGGAAGTATAACTTAATGGTCTTGAAGACTTTTCCCACCCTCAGTGATCCCATAATTCCATGACCCCATAATCCTAAAATTCTGCTATTTTTAAAGTGTGAACTCGATGGCCTTGAAGACTTTTGTCACTCTCAGTGATCCCACAATTCCATGACCCCACAATTCCCAAATCCCACCATTCTCAGAGGTTGTAACGGATGCTCTTGGAGCTCTTTCCCACCCTCACTGACCGCACCGTTCCCTCCGCGCAGCGACCTCCAGGCCCCTCTGGAAAGCCTGGAATTGGCCTTCTGCTCCCTAATCCCATGATCCCATAAATCCATGATCCCATAATTCCATGATCCCACAATTCCCAAATCCCATCATTTTCAGAGGTCAAATTTGATGCTCTTGGAGCTCTTTCCCAATCTCAGTCATCTCGTAATTCCATGACCCCATGATCCCACAATTCCCAAATCCCATCATTCTCAGAGGTCAAATTTGATGCTCTCGGAGCTCTTTCCCACCCCCACTGACCGCACCGTTCCCTCCGCGCAGCGACCTCCAGGCCCCTGTGGAAAGCCTGGAATTGGCCTTCTGCTCCCTGATAACATGATCCCATAAATCCATCACCCCATAATTCCCAAATCCCATCATTCTCTGGGGTCGAACTTGAGGGTCTTGGAGCGCTTTCCCAGCCTCAGCAATCCCATAATTCCATGATCCCATAATTCCCTGATTTTCAGAGGTTGAACTTGATGCTCTTGGAGACCTTTCCCAAACCCAGTGATCCCACAATTCCATGACCCCATAATTCCCAAATCCCATCATTCTCAGAGGTCGAACTTCAGGGTCTTGGAGCTCTTCCCCAATCTCAGTGATCTCGTAATTCCATGACCCCATGATCCCACAATTCCCAAATCCCATCATTCTCAGAGGTCAAATTTGATGCTCTCGGAGCTCTTTCCTACCCCCACTGACCGCACCGTTCCCTCCGCGCAGTGACCTCCAGGCCCCTCTGGAAAGCCTGGAATTGGCCTTCTGCTCCCTGATCCCATGATCCCATAAATCCATCACCCCATAATTCCATGATCTCCCAATTCTCTCTCTCCACGCAGTGACCTCCAGTCCCCTCTGGAAAGCCTGGAATTGGCCTTCTGCTCCCTCCTCCCCGCCGACCTGGCCTTCCT